TGCAGCGATGCAAACGGATGCTTGCATTGGTGGAATTGTCCATCAGCAAGGATAGTTGTTATACGGAAATGTCTTAGCCGGTAGAATTKGTGCAACGCTGTTATTGCATCGATGATGTGTTTGCTCTGCATGTTCGGTAGAGCTGTTGCTGCATGGTAGTGAAGGTGTCGTGACGTGGTGGTTAGGAATGGAATCTTATTGATATGCATGACGTCCATTCCCAAGGTCATGTCCTGRTAGTGTTCTTTGATATGTGCAGGGACTGGTACCACATCGGGTGTTACACTGGCCTGTTTATGCCTCGTCATCTTTCCTTTTAGGCCAGGGATACTCGGTCCGAAGATTGCTCGCATGACCCGAATATCGCGGGGTGTGATCGGACTGTTCTTTAGTTGATTATTCCTTGCAATCCTCATCATTTGCCCTTCGCTTAAATGACCTGCTGTATGTTGGAAGTCRCGAGCTATCTTTGCCCGTATCACATCTTGTTTGGAGAATTTTGCTATATTATCCTTTACAGTTTCAATCTGCAGCGACGTTTCGGTGTTAGGTTGGCTGGTTKGTTTGATTGGCCTCATGAACATGGGTGAAAAGTCTGAGTAGTACAGTCCTTTGTTCGACGGTATGAATTCTCTTGTTGATCCATCTGGCTTTTCTACATTAAATGCATCCTTGATTCGRCTGTTGTATGTTATATGATAGTCTGGCTTGTTCTTCACGCCGTGGAATGATAGCACGTTGGCAATCCCACTCCTGTGGACCCATACTGTTCCGAAGCCGGGAAGTTCACCCATCTCATCGATAATTGCTTTGCCAGAGTTGGTATATAGGTGTAATTCCTTATTAACTTGTCGAACGTTCTTAAGGAAGAGTGTGTTGAAGAACACATGCACAGTTGATTGGTTGTCCAATAATATCCAGAATGGGTTAAGTCTTCCTTCGATCTTGTTATACACTGTCTCCGTATTGGAGGTCAGGTMTTCAGTGATTATTTCCTTCAGTGGATTCAACGGTACRGCTTGTGTATTCATSTTGAATTGATATCCGTAATCATCTGTTGTTAGGGTATCGCTCCATTCTTCAATCATTTCATCCGTGATGACCATCGTTGTCCCCTTTGCGACCTCCGTAATTTGCTCAGTTACTGTGCTTTTGTTGTTATTATAGCCACCGATACCGCTTGCCTTTCTCCTCCGTGCTTCYTTTACGGTTGGTTCRCCGTTTTCCTTTGTGGTATACGGACAGTTGGGAGATATATGTCCTTTCCTATTGCAGTTGTAACATGTAACTGATGKGTTATTACTGGCATTATCGTTGCTATGTTCCTCATCGCTTCCTTTTGAGCCATCGTTGGTGGTTGATTTCGCGGTCTCCCTGTCTTGTTCCTGTTGGAAGAAGCTGTGGGCATTGGTGGTTATGACATTGTGAGACTGGGTGTTATCGTTGTTTCTTGAATAGACCTGAGGGTTRTATCGGTATTGCTCAAGTACTGTTAGAGCATCCGTTAGTGTCTTTGGATATTGATCTTGTTTTTGAGCAAAGTTGTTGCTGCATTCTTCTTTATATTTGCCGTACTTGGTACGATGTGAGTTCATCATGAACATGATTGCAATGAACCGATCTCTTGCTTTCTTCTTTACATCGGGTTGAAGGTGTTGATCCAGTTCCGCATATTTCCTTCCTTGGTACAGTGTCATTGCTACATGATTACATCTTTCTTCTGTTGCAAAGTTCACTCCGTTTTGCTCAGCTACTCTGAGCAGCATTTCAAATTCCTTGTAATAGTCGGCTACATCCACGTCGTCTCTTTGTTTAAAGTTGACCAGTCTTCGTAGTGCATAAAAGCTCTGCAATTCATAGTATTTTGTTGCATCATTGGAGCTGCATATGTGGTCTAGTATCATCTGTAGGAGTTCAATAACATTGGATGTTTCCATTGTATTGCTGTAGTTTGGTTGCGATTTGATTTTATTTTTCAGTGCCGGTTCACATTGGTCCCAMAGGATGTCGTACGCTTTGATGAGCTGGTCTTGTACCTTTACTTCCATGTCTGAGTATCTCTTATACTCCATCTTCCAGATATCTTGTAATCTCTGGGGTAGGTTCTTGTATTCATCATCAGTGTATGCCTCTGGTTCTTTGACATGCAGTATCGTGACTTTCAGTCGATGGAGGGATGTTTTCACACTTCCCCCGTATGTTCTTCCAGCGTAGTTGATGAACGCTTCACGACTTGTCATCCATTTCTTTCCCATGTTGCTTCCGATGGTGAATGTGTCGTCTTTTAGTTCTTCTGTTTTGCTTGTGTAGGGATTGATCTCACTCCTGTTATTCTTTTGGCTCGCGTTGTAGTATTTCTTCCTGTGCCTTGGCTTTCGCGGCACTGTATATTTCTTCCCCTCTTTCTCCTCTTGAGGAGGCTCGAACTTTACTTTCTTATCATCAGCGCTCATCGTGTTCCTTGCTAGTATTCTTTAATTTATGTTGTTATCTCCAGTCCATTGGACTTCCCCGACTGGGTTGAACCAACGAGTATTATCAACAGACTGGTGATCTAGTGAATTAACTAGTTCTAATCACTCCTAAGTAAATTAAAGAATATGGGATCAATCATGTCGCGTGATTTGTCGAGTTTTCTTGCTGGGTACTTTGTAGTACTATCAGGTATACAGTAATCCCTAACCTTATCCAACAATTCGCATGACATTATTATCAACAATATTATCAACACGCGGTAGGCTTTTTACGGTTAACGCATTTTATATCGAATTAACTGGTACTCCACCGAATGAGTAGATAAATAGATAAAAAACAAAAAATCATTCGTAACCGTCGATGGCACTAGATTTGAACGCACCAAAGCAAGCCAATCGCCAAGGTGCAGACAGACTTCTGGTTCCAACCGAATCATCTCCGATCGGTCTTGAAACGATTGATCCTTCGCGTCGCAATCTTGTCAAGCATTGGATTTGTTTCATTGCAGAAGAAATCTACCCATCCATTTTCTTCTTTATCTGCCCATCCATCGAAGACGAGAAGAACCGCACGGTAGAAAGTGAGCGCAGATTTGGCAAATCTTTATCGTCATCGTCGTCGTCGTCATCATCATAATCGCCGTCGCCAACCACCATCGATCGGCACGCGGACCAGCAACACATCGAATTGTAACACAGAGACAAACGCAGATCCCATCGTGTCGACAGCCGCTACGAGTAGGCACATCTCGTCACGGCACGGCTCGGCTCGGCTCATCGTTTTGCAGCATCACGACAGGCATGGCCGGTCGAAAACTCATCGACACGGCGAGGTCGCGCGCCTTTCGGACCCTCTGGATGCTCGAGGAGATCGGGATTCCCTACCAGCACGTCGCCGCCCTTCCCCAGTCCGAGCAAGCCAGGCGGTACAACCCCCTCGGAAAGATTCCCGTTCTGGTCGAGGACGACGGCTTTTCCCTCTACGAAAGTGGGGCCATCCTCTCGTACCTCGGCGACCGCTACCGGAGCAACAGCGGCGGCGGTCTGGTTCCGCGGGCCGGCACGAGGGAGCGGGCGATCTACGAGCAGACCATGTCGGTCCTGCTCACGGAACTGGACGCCCAGGGCTTGTGGATCCATCGCAAGCACGAGGTGATGGGCAAGTTCTTCACCTACGTGCCCGATGCGGTGGAGCACGCTAGAAAGTATTTCCACAAGACCAATCGGGTGCTGATCCAGCAGCTGAAAGACAACAACAACAACAGCAACAAGAACAAGAACAAGAACAACCAAAGCAACAACGACAACACAAACGGGCTCGATCGGGGCGGGGGCGAATCCTCCTCCTTTCTGCTGGGGTCGGGGTTTTCCGCGGTCGACATCGTGTACGTTCAGTGCCTCGACTGGAGCAAGGACATTGGTTGGAACGACAAGTGGAAGGACAACGACGCCCTGGCCAGCTACGTTGCCGCCTGCAAGTCTCGGGCAGCCTATGCGCGAACACTCGCGGTCGCAAAGAACGAAGGGAAGCACGACCGTAGCGGCAGCAAATTGTAGCGTGCCAGGAACCGAGCAATCAGCACCACCAACACTGCCGGATCGAGGAAAACGGGACGAGATGCGTTTTTGGCTTCGTTTTTGTTTTCGTTTTCTCTCCATCGCAATAGATGCATTTCGAGAATGGATGCCGTTGTGTCACCGATGGACACATCGCCCAAAAAAAGGAAGAGCAAAGTCAGCGAAGCGAAGCATTCCACTTTTCTTGTGTGCCGACCGTATCGGTCCATGCCATAGTCAGGAAAAGTCAAAGCGAGAAAAAATCGATTCGAATCGATTGGCGGGKTTGTGTTTGGATCACTAAGCGGGGAGTGGGCATGTGCGTAGTTGCGTACTCCCGCACACAATCCTTCTATGCAACCGCTAGAAACGCGTCCAACCGGGACAGCCAGTTTTGTGGCAAACAATCCACCGATAGTCGACCTCTTGCAGCGAACCAAGGCACGGCTAGGTATGTCTACGTGTGGCTATTCCCTATAAGGCAAGATGCGATGCGATGCTAGAGGGATAAAATAGCAATATATTCAGTATAGAAGCGATGGAGTCTCGATGCGATGATAAATGAATAAAAGAATTAATAGTAACAGCAGCAAATTATCCATCCACAACATTTTCTGTTGTGGTGTACATGTTGTTGTCGATGCTTTTTTTTGTTTATGCGAATCTCCCGATGCGTTTTATCCGTGAATTGCATCGATTGGCATGATACACGTACTAGCACTTTGGGTGTACGGACGCACGAATAGCTCATGAATGGCTGTTGGGTGGATCTCTCCAAGCCCTCTTTCGGTTGCCTTAGCATTGTAGATTCATGATCGGCATTCGTTCATTTGTGCTTTCCGAGGCGATTCGTCGCGCCACCCCATCCGGTGGATGCCTAGAATCTGAAGCAAACCCAAACCCATCCCCGACTGTTCACACAGCACTCGTATGTGAAACGGAGCGGACTCGTGGTTCTTTTGGAGCGTATGGTATGTTATCGCATCGTGTCGCATCATCCTGTGTTGCGTTGTGTTGCGTTGCACGGCTCTTTTTCCCGCTGCGGTCTCACGCTTCGGCCGGGTCGGGCCCCCGGCTCGGAGGGACGAGCCCGCAGTCCCTGGCAATCTCCCGGCACACCAGGCGTTCCTGCCACGCTAGGACCGGCGGCGGGCCCTCGGCTCCGTCGCCGCCGTCCTTGCACCGATCGCTGAGGTCCCCGCAGACGACGGCCGAGACCCCGGCACCCACGCGCTCGAGCTCGCCCGCCGCCCTTGCCACCACCGGATCGGCCCTGGTGCGCAGGATCCGCCAGGCCGCCCCGGAGGTCTTCGCGAGGAAGGGAGCCGGCGACCGGAGCACCGACAAGAGCGTGGACCCGGGCCGCGAATCGCCGCCTTCGCAGAGCCCCCGGTAGTCCGCGCCTTCCTCGAATCCGGCTTCGGTGCCGCCGTCGGTCCCCTCTGCGCCCCCCCTCTTGCGGCAGGCCCTCCCGAGGTGCAGGTCCCAGGGGAATTTCGGCGAAAGGGTGCAGGCGCAGTAGGGCTCGCACCGGAGGTACCTCCAGTCCCACCGGCAGCCCGGTTCCTCTGGGGGAACGATCCGCGAGATGCGCTCTGGCGCAACCCGCGTCAAAAAGTCCTTGGCCGTCTCGCCGAAAAGATCCAGGTAGGTCTTGTGGTATTGATGCTCGCTGTTCGACATGTGGTTGTGGTTGCTGCTGCCGTTGGCTTCGGGAGACGACGAGGCATTGACCACACCTGATTCTCCCTCGTCTGGTTCTTCTTGGCTTGTTTTTTTTCTCCAGCTACCAATACCACCGCGCACGGTGGTTGTGTTCATGCTTGCAAAAAGGCAGCACAAAAGGGCGACGAGTCGAAGGCTCGTTCTCCTCGGCCTCGACCGGCGCGGCGTCGGTGCCGAACCCAGCATGCCGTACGGTTTGGTATTCGCTTGTGTTTGGATTGGGTTGCTCGCGTTCTGTTTGAGAATGAATGAAAGGCTCTCTCCTCTGTTCAGTGGTGTTCCGCTGCAAATCTGCACCTTGATAGGAACAGAAATGATACCGTATTGTCTATTGTCCATAACCAAGTGTTGAAGCAATTTGACACAACTGTATTGTTATTGCGTACGTACTACTTCGTACTAGTTTTTGAATTTGACGATGCGAAACAAGACTTCATCTTCTAAATGGGTTAAATGGTTATTATTATATTATAGTATGGTATGTACCATATTATACGTAGTATAAGTATCCTATGTTCCCATTTCCCATCAGGTTGTTCGGCAAAGATCGATCGATCGATCGATCGATGTGTCAACAGAATTATGTCAATCTTGAGCGTAAAAATAACTTGTCGAATTCCTTATTCCTACCTTTCGTGACCACAAACTCGACGTGTCGTGTCATTTGAGTTCTCATTCCGAAGAAACAAATAACGTCGAAATTGTTGATACTCCAACCGTTGTAAAGTAGGTTAGTGCGTACGGGTCCTTTTCCAATCCAAGTCATGATTGTAAAAACATTTTAAAAGTTCTTCTTTGTCTTCCGGATCACGTTATGAGTAACGCACTACTCGTAGAAAACCACGGATGACACGGAATTCGAAAAGACGAAACGAATGGAAAATCTCAATCGAATTATCGATCGGTCGATCGGAAACAAGCGCACGCATTCTGTTCCGTCTTCGAATTTTGATTTCAATGGCAAAAAAATAATGGAGGTGATACGGCAATACAGTATGTTATGATACTCCTAGAAGTGCCAAAAACAATTGCACAAGGAACATAGGCGAAGGCGGCATGCAACACAAACAGAACGCAACGCAACAAAACGCTAAAGAGGCATGGTGAAATTCGGCGGACACGTTGAAGCTATCCGAGAGGGTGATCTGGTGGACGCCCGGCTGTACATTATACCCTACAACGAAATCAAATCCCTTGTGTATGAAGACAAGGGAAGCAACATTTCCAAGTCACCAAAACACGCTGGAAGCATGAAGACAAATCCAGCATCGGCGATGAATCTTGCCGTTGGCAATCGTGGCGAAGGCGAGAAAAAGCAGGCGGATAGCGGCGACGAAGTCACCGAAGACGAGGAGCAGTTTTTCATGCGCGTGTGGAAAGTGGCGCTGAGCGACGCCGAAGAAGACTTTCGCGGTGCACGCGAAGAGATATGGCAGACGATCTTTGCCGGAATCACCGAGCGCGAGGCCGACGAACCCGAGATGGAAAACGATCCCCCGGTCCGGGGGGCCCACCCCGGGAACGCCATCAAACTCTACGTCGATCGACTCGGAGAAACCGAGGCGCAGGAACTCCTGGTGCGAATGAAAGAAGTGTACCGCGCGGCGTCGATCAATTCGGAGGGCCTGCGAAAACTTGTCAAGAAGTCCGACAAGCACCGAAAAGACCGGAACGGCCTCAGCAGCAAGCTGCTTCCCCTGCTCTATACCTCGTCGCTGTACACCGGGCAGAACATGATGCAGGACGCGATCGGCCTGCTCAGAGACCTCATTTGTGGAAGGGATAGCGATTCGAACACCAACGGCCGTGTTTACGCCAGTGACGATTCGCTGATCGGTGCCTACAACGACGGCCACTTCAGCAAGCTGGTGAAGCGCAACAGCGAAACCCGCCACCAGGAAGCAATCGACATCCGGAAGATGGAATTCGATTGGCTCAAGAGCCTGGTTCGATCAATCCCACCCAACGACCTCCTTCCAAAGCTAGTGGCCCACCGCGGTTTCCACCACACCAAGGACCGCAACGACAAGCGCCCGGTCGAGAATTCCCTGAGCGCCTACGAAATGGCCTGGACCTGCGGGATCGAGCTCTGCGAGTGCGACATTGCCCTAACCAAGGACGAAAAACTCATCCTCGCACACGACGAGAACTTTGAGCGGCTCTCACTCGACGCCCTGCACGCTAATTCGAAGCGCAAGGTCGGAGACTTGACCTTCAAGGAACTCATTTCTATGCCCCTGTCCAACGGAGTCCGTCCCCCCCTCCTGATCGATGTCCTGCGATCCGCCTCGGCCATTTCGGAACGGTCGAAACTCGTCATCGAGATCAAGCCCGGGAACGAATCTTCTGCCTTTGCCCTTGCCCGGTTGCTGACTCGCCACCCGGATCTGCGGTCCAATGTGGCAATGATCATGAGCTTCGATGCCGCCACAATGCACCAGCTAAGAGCGGAACTCGACCGGGTGGTCTTGCCCGATTCGAGGGGGGAGCTCGCGGCGGACAGAATCCCCCTCGGTGGAGCACCACTGCAAAACTCAAATACCCACCGGAGGGTGACCTCGTACGACCACTTTGGTACGCTGAGTTCAGGCTGGCTGGCCGGGATGGGGATGGGAGCGGGGAGCAGCCCCGTCCCTCTGTCGAGCCAAACCAGGCGCCGAGATGGATCGATCGATCTCTCTTCGATCGGCCTCTCCATAAGTCAGACCAATCTAGCGGCATCGCCATCTTCCCAATCCGTGACCAGATTGGGGAAGGGATTCCCATCGGGCTCTGGCCAGTTGAATGGTGCCACCGGGGAGCCGTTGGCGACTTCTGGTTCCTGGGAGAAGCAAGCGGTCGACCACTACGGGAATTCCTTTTCAATGCCGAAGCTTATGCTGCTGACGGTGGCCGATCCACCGAGTATTCCTTGCGAGCTCCAGGTTCAGTACAACGAGCTGCACCGTGTGGATAGCTGGCTCCGACACGAGGACGGGTTCCTCGACGGCGTCTATCTCCAGTACGAGCCAGGAATGTTGACTCCGGAGGGGGCTGCATGCCTGCGGGAGCTGAGCCAACGATTCCTGGTTGGGATCTGGGGATACGCGGAAAGAGACCCCGACGATTTCGAGACGTTTGAGGTGCGTGCGATGCCGACCGTAGGCTATGGGCCGTTCGCCAGCGCTCTGTTGCGTTGCGTTGCGTTGCCCCCCATCAACCCCCCCGGCTCTGTGTTGTTTGGTTCTCTTTTCTGCGCCTCTTTCGCTGCGCAATCGGGGATTATTTTTGGCAGAACAACCAATTGTGTATACGTTTTTATATTTGTAATCGCATTTGTACTCAAAATCCAGCTTTTCTCCATTTCTGCCCTTTTTTCGTTCTTCGGCCTATGCCACATTATTTGCCCTTCTTTCGTGGTCCCAGTGGCTGGTAAAGGAAGGAAACTGCTCGTTTGTGAATAGTGATCTTCCGAAGCATTTTCGAAAGGAGCTCTTGATTCAAAAGGAGCGGTTGCCACCGAGGTATTCGCATACGAAGTAAGCACAAAATGAATCGTTGATGGAAACATTCAAGCAAAACGAAAGGAATAACGCGATCTCTAGCTCGGGGAGGGAGGCATTTCATCTTGCATTACATTTTGAGACTCCGTATACAAGTTTCTGGAAAAAATACGATACATCACAGCAGGAAAGGGAGCAAAACATACCAGTCACTTGTGAATTGCCTCAAACCCCAAGCGAAATAATCGAGGAATGACTGTACCTCGAAGTACGAATTAAGCTGAAGGAAAAAGTAAACTAAAGAATCTTAAATCCTACCAATTTCTATTACATAGCTTGAACGCACTCTACTTCTTGATTTTAAAACCTTTGTCACTACTCCTTTAAGTTGTATTTTCACCATGACGGCAATGCCTTGTCCACAACCGAAAGAACCTTCAAGCAAAAGAAGGCCAATGATAGTTATCCTTCCCTTTCTTTTGTTGAAGGTCCACCATCAATTCCCATGGTCATTACAGCTCAACTCTCTTCCTCGTTGATTCCTACACGGCAGAAACAGCCATACGTAAGCCAAGGTGGTTGCTGCATCTCCACAACCAAGCGTCTGTTGGCTATTCTGGATCGATGGGCATCATGAGCTCTATCTAGTTAGCATCGAATATACATGTTCGAACTACATTGATAGACAAAAAATCATATTTGTGCAAATCTGTGCTGCACTTCATTCAGAGAACCTTTCTCCTCTGTTATCCGCCAGTACGTCAAAGATATTTATTCTAGTAAACAACTAGAAACAAACTAACAAACACGAGGAGTAACTGGGTAGGAGACTTCAGAGCTACTAGTAAAGTACCAGCAGAAACACTACTCTTTCCTCTCTACACAGTGCGACCCAGAACGTTAAAAATTCCAAGCTTTTTTGATGACATAAAACTAAATTAGTGGGGGTATCTTTAACACAAAACGCTTTGAAACTACAACGGAAACAATAGCCCGAAGCCCACCCTCGACAACCTCATTTGCAACAGGAAGCATTTTGAAAACGCGACGGAAACAATAGTCCACAGACCACACCGAACAACAACACGTGGATAGGCAACAAACGGTTTTTGCAAGACCAAGGTCCTAGGGGCAGGACGTCGCAGAGCCGCCCTGGAGGGGCAGCGCAAATGGCTGAAAGCCGGTCGGGAGGTTCTGGCACTCGGTGAGGCCGGAGGTGACGACTTGCGAGGAGTGGTGGCTGGTAATGACCGCGGCATTCTGGCTCTCGCCACCCCTGGCGAAGCTGAAGGTCTTGTCGACGCAGGCCTTGGTTCCATTGTCGGCGTGGAAGCAAATCTGTCCGACGGCGAGGGGGCTGTCGCAGTAGTACCCGTCAACCAGGAACTCGAAGTCCGAGACTGTGGCAGAGGAATAGCCGAAGTCCGTTCCGAAGCCCTTCTCGCGAAACATCGCCCCTTGGTTGTTTCCTTCCGGAAAGAAGCGCTGACCGACCTCAACGAGGCAATCCGTTCCCACAAAGTACGACAGGGCGGCGTTGTAATCGTTGCGGAAGGTGTAAGGCTCGGAAGTAAGGGTCTGTGGGCACAGAGAGGATCAGGCACGGGCAGTGGGTGTGAGGAATGGTACGCAGCGACAGAACAAACGAACCGACACAGCCCGCAGCGGGCGAATTCTCGCTTACCGGCTTGAAGAGAACGAGGCCGAGGTTGTATCCATACGCAACATCGAGAGCTCCGGTTGCCGCAGTGTAGGCAGCCTGGCACCCGCCTGGTGAATTTCTGGCCCTTTGAACGGCGGGGACCGCTCCAGCAAACGCATTGATGGTGGCCATTGCATCGGCCGCTGTAATGCAAGACTTGGGACTCGTCTTGGTTCCTTTGCTTTTTCTGCCTTCGGCTAGGCCAAGCCCGAGGGAGAAGAGGATAGCAGCTTGACGGAAGTTCATGGTGGACTTTTAGCAATAATGTTGATGCGATTTTATGTCTGGAAACAAAAGGGATAGTGAGCTATAGCTACAACACGTGCACTACGGTACCGTGCGAAAGCAAAAAAGTATCTAGGGAGAATTATGCACTTCAATGTTGGATACGAGATACAGCGCGATACAATACGCCACGGTACTATGAGATGCCTTCTCTGCGTTGGCCAAAATTGTTTCTCAGAGACAAATTCGAGAACTTTGGCCTAATGAAAATAAGCTCTTAATTTTGTTCTGTATCTTCCCTTTCCGTCTGGTCGACGACAGAGAACAATTCTCATACCTTTCTTGATAGGTATGAGTAGGCTAGCTCGTACTTACAGTACGTACTGAAGGACAATGTTCGGAAACGAATCTGGTGTACCGTACATGATATTTCTTACGTTCTTTCTAGATAAATTAACCGGAATTGTTTGGTATTATTGGGTGAATACACGGATTGGATAAGAGAAGGTTGATAAGCTATTACTGTTTGACAATTTCAAAAAGAAATCTATGACATCATTGATATTTCATGTGATTTATAGAAACCATACGAACGAAAAAAAGGTGAAAATATATAGCATTTGGTAGGCTAAAAAAAGGCTTAAAAATCGGATTTCTTAGGAACATTCTACAGAAAGGTAAAATTTACTTCTAGAGACGAAGTTCCTCGTCGAACCGACGAGGAAATCTTCTACCATCCAACCAACCAACCTCTTTTAAAAACAAAACCTGTACGGTACTGTTTAGCTTGCGAGCGTGTCAAGGATGAAAGTCATTTTATGGTTTTTATCAATTCGGTTTGATTCTTCTCCCATCCTTACTGTTACAGCAAAGTACCGTACCGTAGGGTAGATCGCACCGTAAGGAGACCATTACGTAAGTGACAGTAGTAGAAATACGTACCTAGCAGCAGTAGGAGTTTTGAAATATTTTTTCGGCCACACGATTTCGATGTCTTTTAGGGGAGGTTTTCCCCCGACCATTTATTGATCCATACGGCACGCATCGGATTCATACGATTACCAAAAATTGAGAGCGACATACTGATGCACTCTTTCTCACAGCCAAGGAATAAATAGCACAACACCAAACGCTTGTTCAACGCTAACAATCAGACGGTGTCGTGCAACAACACCCAACACAACACAGCCCGCTACAACCCGTGGATCTCTCCCACCAAAAAAGATTCCTTTGGTTCGATGGCGGGTCCCGTTTCCGAGGAAAGCCACGCGGGAAGAAAGAGGAAACTAGAGGCGGCCGGGCCGGGGGCTGGAGGTTCTCTGCACACGGGTGGTGGCAGCGGCATGGATTCGTCGTCGTTTTCTTCTTTGCCGGCCGCGGGGACGGGAGCGACGGCCGTGGGAGCGAAGGAAGCGCCGGGGGAAGGGTCCTTCCCCTCGCCGGAAACCACCGTTTCGATATCCTACGTCGAGTTCTATTCGGGGGTCGGTGGCTGGACGATGGCGCTGGAAGAAGGCCTCGGTCGGCTGCGGGAAAGGTTGTCGGGAGAAGGGCACGGCTCTCCGAAGGACCAAAACAATGGCCAGGGCCGCCCCGTGCGCTACGAGCTCAATCGGCTCGCGGCACTCGATCACTCCGACCTGTGCACAAGGGTCTTTTCCCACAACTTTTTGGACCGGAAGAGCGAGGAGCAGCAAACCCAGCAGCAGCAGCAGCAGCAGCAGCAACAGCAGCATCCGCAGCACCACCAAAAGCCACAGCCATCCGGTCCAAAAGCCCTCTCCATTGAGCGCATGAGCATCAAGCAGCTGGAGGAATGGTCGGCCGATGTCTGGGTCATGTCGCCGCCGTGCCAGCCCCACACAAGGCAACACAACGGCGGCAGCGAGAGCTGCAACGACGCGAAGGACCTGGACGATCCCCGTTCCAGGAGCTTCTTGAAGATTTGCGAGTGGCTGGAGGGACCTCCCCCTTCCGGCACTGGTCGCCGCCGCCGCCTCCGCGACGAGTCCCTCCCGTCTCTGATCCTCCTGGAGAACGTCGTGGGGTTCGAGTCCTCGGGGAGTTTTCGGCGGTGGAGGTCGGCCCTGGGGGCGAGGGGGTACCGTTCGGCCCACTTCCACCTGACGCCGACCCAGGTCCGGCTCCCGAACGACCGGCCGAGGTACTACTGCGTCGCCATCCGGTCGACCGCGGGGGGATCCCCGCTTGCCTCCCGGTCTCTGGGGTCCTACTTTGGGGAAGAGCCGGGCCCGGACGAGGAAACGCCAGAGCCTCTCCCACGCCCGCGCATCTGCAAGTCCATCCCCGAGCTCGGGGTGGTTCCCGAAACAACCGAAGACAGCGCAAAAGCGCAAGAGGAGATGCCCCCGATCGCCTCGTTCCTGGACGACAAGGCCAGCGACAATGGCTCGCTACGGGTGCCGGCATCCGTCCTGGAGAGCAAGTCGGCGTGGTGCTTCGACATTGTGTCCCCCCGCGACCGGCGGAGCTCGTGCTTTACGCATTCCTACGGGAGGTTCGTCCGGGGAACGGGGAGCGTCCTGTACGAGGACAATGGTGACAACGAAAGCGATTCCGCAGGGGGCCGGGCAGCCTTCCGACTCCTCCCGCCGGACCAGAGGGAATACTCCGACGACTGGAGGGAGGGCCTGGATCCGACGAGGCTGCGGTACTTCTCGGGGAAGGAACTAGCCCGCCTCTTTGGCTTTTCCGACACCTTTTCCTTCCCCCCGGACACCACCCACAAGCAGCAGTGGAAGCTGATGGGAAATTCCCTCAGTGTGGGGGTGGCCTCCAGGCTCGTCGAGCTGGGACTCCTGCTGGCCTACGGCGGTCCCGACCCGCCAGGGGACGGGCCTCCGTGAGGACTAGCTATTCTACGGTTCTACAAATATAGGATCTGTTTACCAACCGAGATTTCACAATGTATCTAAAAATTAAAAATAGAAGCAATCGATTTCCTGTTTCGTGGTTCCCATTTTTTTGTGGTTGCGGCTGCTTCTTGCCAGGTTGCGCAGCAGTAAAAACTAAAGGTATGCATTGGATTTGGTTTTGGTTAACTCGTGGATTTGGCGCCTGTAATGTATTGCGTACAAGTTTGAGTCGGTGGTGTGTCGGCGAGGCGGGGATCCGACAGAGACATCCATTGGATCGCACCAGAGAAAATGGATCTTCGTCCCTTCTCCGCGGCACGGACGAATATTGGTAGGAATCGAGCGCGTCGGGACTTGCCGATTGTGGGAACATCAGGCCCGGTGCTGGGGTGAGCCATCAATGTCGTCTGTCTGTGCGATAGTCAGGTCGGTCAGATCCGGGGAAAGATTCACAGCAACTGTGGTTTGGATACGTGTCCAGCAATGCTTTCCGGACTTTTTATGTTAGGCCCCGCAGCGTCGTGGTGAGGTGGGGCAGGATCTCTGGATCAGAAAGGAGTTCCATGCAGGACATGGGCCCGTGCCTCTTGTACCGATCCAGAAAGGCCCGGACGGCCCGGTTATTCCGGCCGCCCTCGGTGAGCTCGTCCATCTTGCCGACGGTCTCGGGGCAGAGGATCCCGTGGGCCAGGCCCCGCCTCCTGCCGCCGGCTCCCTTGCCGCGAAGCAGAGCCCGGTCTTCTTCGTCCAGTGCCGGCCCGGCCATGTGGATGCGAGTGGTGCCCGGTTCGGAGGAAATGGACGGTGGGGTGGCCTGGTCGCTGTCCGGGGGGATCAGGTACCCCAAATCCATCCGTCTGTCTCTCGAATCGGCTTTGGGTCTAGGAGAAAACGACGAATAGTCTTGCAAAAAGGCGGAGGAGATCGATGGCAGCGCCGCGAGGAACCACAGCCAGGAATACCCCACCGAAAATTTATTTCGTGCGGGTGTTGTGTTGCCCTGAAAACTCTGGGGTCGTGGCTTCATGATCCTTTGAGTACGGGTGCAAAGCTCAGCTGGGAAGCAAGGCGACGGAACAAATAGGGGCCGAAGCTAAGCAAAGCTCGTGCAAGGTACCTTAGGTAGGCTGAGGTGACGGTCGTCTAAATTCTCTTGTGAGTGGTTCTCTGAAAGAAACAAACGGAGAACCTTGCTCCATTTGAGGTTAATCTTGCCCAAACAAAGCCTTTTGCTTGAAAAGAATGAAACGAGATCGAATGGAATTGGAAACCGGAATGGACACTAATCTGTACCGTGATTATTGTATAGCGCCGATGTTGGTTTCCTACTGGACTTTCAACTGTAATCGATAATTCTTTCTACTCTCTCGAGGGATGGCAGATAGAAGTGCGGTATTGCGATATAGTGCTTGCGAGATACTGTATGCGATGGATTATTGTTTTATGAACGAATCTAGAAGAAGCTTTGAATTGAGATTCGTTCTCCTTTGTTTTCGTACGGAACCTACGGCAAAACATTCGTATTTTTTCTGGTTGCACAATGCTTTGATGGGGTGTGACTTAAAACTAGAATCCTCACACATGGTAAGATCAATCTTGCGCACATGATTTTCGTTATTTTGACGTGTACTATCCCGGTCTTACGGGTAGCACTGCAAGCACAACACAACTTTTAGAAGAACCGTGCGTATCAATCCACATCAATCCAGTAGTGCATTCACTTCGAAAATCAAAACATCAACTCAATCATCATTCGAGAGAACAACTGCCGTCACGATTTTTGAATTTTTGGCTTTGATTGGGCGAATCCGGTTTTTGGGTGCTTGCCAAGTGTTCCTTCTGTTCTCTGGATGGTCCATTCAAACAATACGACTAGGTTTTACAAATAATGCTCTGTACTTCGTAGGGGTCATGAACGACTCGTGAATTAGACTCGGAGTCACGACTAATGAATCAATTTTTGAAATTGGATTGGAATTGGAGGTATCGTACCGTATGTGAAGTACAAAGTGCCTTGATACATGCATTTCCGCCCTAAGAGCAACATCTCTTTTCTCTTCAGGGCCCAAACTTTTTTGCACCACCCACCATAGGTAGCCCGCAACACCGCATCTCCGACGAATTACCATACGTATCTCTTCACATAGCATTCGCGTACAAGCGAGCTTGCACTTGCTAGAGATGAAAGCTTCCGAAGCCCTCGGGCTCTGCAAACTAGCCGACTCCGGGGTGGCATCCGTCACATCGCAAGCCCGGGTCGCAAATCTCTGGGCGGGGATGGGATCGATCATACGCCTCGAGTGTTCCGGTGGCTCACAGAAGTCGATCATAGCGAAGCGAATTCGTTGTCCCTGCGATCCGTCGTCCATCGGTGATCAACGCAAGGCTGCCTCGTATCGCGTGGAAGCCTCTTTCTACGCGAGCAAATACTGCCGGGAGCTCTCGGAGGAGGGCATCTGCTGCGAGGGATTGCACACCGAAGACGACGGGAAGGGATCGATCACGATCCTAATGAGGCCCCTCCCGAACGAGACCCTGTCGTACATGGAAGGGAAAGTGGCCGAGGCCGCGGTCAGGTCGGTGGCCAAGCTCCACGCCTATTTCTGGGGAAGCGAAAGAGCTCGCGAAGCGGTGGAGGAGACGGGACTGGCCGAGCAGGGAACCTACTGGTACCTGGACACACGGCCCGACGAATACGACCGCATGGACGGCAACCGTGGGCTCTCCGCGAGGCTCAAGCGCGCCGCACATGGCATCGATGCCGCCCTCAAGGAGCACGAGTACCAGACGATCTGCCACGGAGATCTCAAGGCGTGCAACATGTCGCTGAGCCGAAACCCCGACTTTGTGACGCTCGTGGATTTCCAGTACCTCGGAAAGGCCTGCCCGGCGAAGGACCTCGCCTACCTCTTTGTTTGTGGCATAGACGTGGACGACGACTTTGAGGCGCGACGGGAAGACGAACTCCTTAGGTTGTACATCGAGGAATTGGCTGCAAACGGCGTGGGCGACGACGCCGATGCCCCGCTTCCAACGATGGAAAAATTGAAAGAAGCACTGTACGTCAGTGCGAGGTGTTGTGCTCGGTTTCGGAAGCTCGAACCGATTCCTTTTTCCTAACAGTGCTGCAACTTGCTTAATTCGTTGGTCTGGCCACCATGTTCTCTCATTTTTGTTTCGTTTTTGTATCTTTTTGGTTTGCTTCGAAACAAATATGCAAACAGAGACTTGTCCTATTGTGATTTGTATCGTTGGATGCTCGGCTGGGGAGTTTGGGGAAATGGATTTTTGGAGGGACGAGTAGAAGCTTGTATGAACAATTATGGCAGCATGTATAACTAGTTTGATGCCAGGTAGTAACTGTTTGCCTTCTCTCGAAGGTATCATAAATAAAGGGTTTATCCTTGAATCGTTTCTTATTTCTTCAGCCGCGGCATGACACATTCCGTTTGTACTCATTATAGCAATCAACCTCCCCGTGCATCTATTTGTGATATTCACTTCAAGTGGGTATCTTATTTCTATTGTGGTGCTGTTGTCGGTAAAGTCACTTCTATTCTTTCACTATGTTTCAATTATCTTGGTTCTGTGCGAGATTTGGTATTCTGAGAACCATGGGTGAAATTAGAAGCTTCAAATATCTATGCATCACATTTGGATGTCTTTCTATCCTTCCTGCTGTTGTCGCGGTATGCTGTCGCAGCAATCCATGGGCCAGCTCGGACGCCCGATCACGAGTTGCCTTGGTTTGGTTGCGTCAATGTCCATTGCAGCTCTCATTGCCCTTCTTCGTTTCTCTCTCCTCGGCGATGCAAATGGTCTGTTCTCTTTCCTCTTTTTTCGGTCATCCTCGACCATTTCCACATCCGATTCGGCATGCTCTTCCATAGCAAGCTTGTACCGTTCGGTCTTCTCGAGTCTCCGCAGCATATGCCTGGCTATTATCAAACCACTGGACCTACATAGAAAATCATTGAACTTGATGCATTCGCCGGCTTGTATACAGGCCGGGCACCCGCCCGTGTAGCCAGCATCGTCCACACACGAAGGGCAGGATTCTAGCAAATCGATCGCCGCTTCAACCAAGCCGTTTGGTCGAAAGATGGATTTCCACAGCTGCGCCGTGATCCCGGATCCCCCCGCTCTGCTGTCAAAAATCACGACGCGGGTTGGGCTATAAAACGAGTGATCGCACTGAACGTCGTTGAGGACGCACGGCACAAAACGCGGAGCCACGTTGCAAAGGGCATGGGATAGGGCGTGAACGCCGTAGCCAAAGGATTGCGGAGTCATCAGCTTTCCCAGACCGGTGGCGTCGCAGTCGATCCAAAACGCGTAGGTGTCGTATTCCATATCCGGCAAGGACAGCTCCGCGCGAGACAACTCGTCGCGGGTCACGAGGGAAATTTTTTTGTAGCCGTGCACGTTGCGCTTGACGGTGATGGTACCGCACCCAGCAAATGATCCGGATGACGGATCGAAATCGTCCGCGAATATGGTGCTGGGATCCGGCGTTTGATCGGATTCTTTTGTTGTTGTCACTTTGTCCATCAGATCGACGCGTTCCGTCTGCTTGACAACCGTAATCTTCAAGTTGCTCAGAGGCCTGGTGCAATATCGATGGGCGCTTGGCTTCGCGTATGCACCAAGGGTTACAGTGCTTCGAAATCCTACACCAAAAGCCGGAGGTCTGGTCATGGAAACGATCTTGTATCGACGACCCCTGTGTGTTATGATAGCTCCAGGAAAGGCGTGATAGAAGACCCTGCTGTATGGAATATTATCCTGGGGAGTTCAACGAAAGTGAGAAACAAAAAAGAGACAACGACCGATTTGACGAGGGAACAACAAATACTGTGCCACGCATTCAACATACCATGATGGCACCCTCGTGGTGATTGCCATCCATCCGATTGCCTTGCATGGGATGAGAGAGATCAACAATGTCGTAATTGACCGTTTCGATCGACCGAATGGAAACGTCCCTCCACGGATTCTTTATGGAAGGATGGGTCTTGAACACCGCAATGAAAATTCCACCAAACACGGCTACTTTTTCCATCGAAAACGATCCCTTCGACGTCGAGTTTTCCAAAGCTTCGAGATAGACTTCCTTGGATCCAAATAGCTCTTCGTCGCTAAGGAGGCCATCTGCCTGTTTTTCTTCTACGGTCAGGATCGCACTTGCATTGAACCGTCCAGTGAGCGGAAACTCTTTCCCGGCACTGTAAGAAAAAGACAAAGCAGAAACAAGGAAAAATACAACGGAATGATGTGTGAGAGACAAACATAAATCCTTCTTAGCAAGGCCGGGAAGAAACCGTTTTGAGGCAGCCACAAAAACGCATCGATGACCACGCACCACACCAGGTGTCCCTGCACCAGGCCGGGATAGACCGGCATCGAGAGGGGGGCCGACAGGCCCCCCGACAGGAGGCTGGTGGGGTGCCGCCACAGGTGCTGGTCGATGGGGCTGTTGAAGCACACGCAGATGGCGAGGGAGGGCTCCCTGCTCGCCTCGGCACCCCGGCCGGCACGCCCGGCCTGCTGCATGAGGCTCGCGTGGCTCGAGGGAAAACCGCAGTGGAGGGTGAGGCCGACCCCCCCGATGTCGACCCCGAGCTCCAGCGCCGAGGTCCCCACCACTCCCAGAAGCTGGTTGCAAAAGAGCTTCTCCTCGATCTCCCTCCGCTTCGACTTGGAATAGCCACCGCGGTAGGAATCCACCTTGGAAACGAGGTCCGCCGTTTCCGGGGACTGCTTCAGGGCTTTCAGGCACCGCTCGTAGACCCATTCCACGAGGCACCGGGTCTTGCAAAAGGCGATGCAACGGACGCCCTTCGCGACGGCCCTGGCCAGGAGCAGAGCGGTTTCGTCGGCGGAGTGCCGGCGGCGGACCTCCCTGCGGCGCGGGGGGTTCTTTGCCTCTCCACCCGGTTGCAAAGGCAGGGATCGAGGACCCGGAACGGAAGCATCGTTTGGGACGTTCGACGCCGGCGTTTTCTGCCTTTCCCCGCCGGTTTTCTGCCGGTCCGGCCTGGATTTCTTTTTCTCGGGCCAGGCCACGTATCCGAGGGATTTCCCGTGCTCGTCCAGGAGCGGTGGGTTCCAAACGAAAAAATGCTTGGCGGCCCGCGGGGAAAAATCTTCCGTCAGAACGGTGACCGGCTTCGACGGCGGAATGGGGCACAGCAACCGGAAATGGTGCTCGGGATGCGCCAGGGTGGCCGAGCAGGCCAGAAAGACGAGCGGCGAGAACGACAGAGATTCCGGCGCTTGTTGGTGGTCGTTGTTGTCACTATCGTTGAAGGTATCAATGCCGCTGTCGCTGTTGTCGGTGCTGTTGTCCGTGTGGCTGGGAGGGTTTTCGCCCAAGACCGATTCGTCGTCCTGGCACCCCCCCCCGGTGTTGGTCCGGTCCGCCGTTCCCGCGGCGACGCAGTGGATGCGGTACAGCCGCGCCAGGATCATGGCCACGTGGGCCCCAAAGACGCCCTCGTAGACGTGGGCCTCGTCGAGGACGACGTACCGGAGGTTCGAGAGCATGGCCCCGTAGCCGGGCTGGGTCTCCCACGACGGGAGGACCGAGGCGTGGAGGGTGTCGGGGTTGGTAAAGATCACGTTGCAGGTCTCGGCGATCAGCGAGCGCTCGGAGCGGGGGGTGTCCCCGTCCAGGGCCGCCGCGGTGACGTGCTCGGCCAGGGAGGGGTGGTCCTCCAGGAGGGCCCGGAGCTTGACCAGCTGGTCCTGGGCCAGCGCCTTGGTGGGGAAGAGCACCAGGGAGGTTTGCCGGGTCGAGATGGCCGCCTGCAGGACGGGGACGAGAAAGCAGAGGGACTTGCCGGATCCCGTCCCGGTGCACACCAGCGTGTGCTTGTCGGCCAGGGCCGAGGCGATGGCGAGGGCCTGGTGCCTGTACAATCGCCGCGAGCGTTGCCGCTTCCTCTGGGGATGGGCTTCCGCGTCGGCACCATCGTCGTTCCCGCCGTTCCCCGCCAACCGGAAGGCCTCTCGCAGGCGCGGATGCACCAATGCCTTGCGCACAGCACCTTTCTCGCCGTCGCTGTCGTTGTGGCAGCACTCGTCCTGGTAGACCGCGGACCGGGCGGGCTGCGTCTTGGCGTAGGACAGCTGTTTCGGGAGGATCGAGGAAGGAACGGGGGTAGGTCCAAAGAGCGACGAATCCGCGGCGGAGGGCGCGCAACCGGCACCGCCGGCACGGATTCCCCGGTTTCCGCCCTTGGATTTTGCGGTGCCGGTGCCTGGCCCGGGCTCCCCGGAAGGCCGCAGTCCAAGGAGATCGCAGAGGGCCCGCCGCGCCTCCCTCTCGTCGTCGTCCAGCGGGGGTCCTTCGTTCCCCGCTGCCGTTCGGCCGTTCGCTTCGCTGGTGGCGGAACATCCCGAAATCCCTGTGGTTTGGTTCCCGGTGGCGGACTGGGACGCGGCGGCGTTTCGAGAAAGTCCCGGGTCGTCGAGGCTTTCCCCGTCGCTGCAGTTGTTTGGGGCATCGCAGGCCGCCGAGGATGCATCCGCGTTCGAACTGCCATTGGCGTTTTTATGCTCGTCGGCGCTGACACTCGATCTCGTCGGTTCGTTCCCGGAGGGTGGTTTGGTTTTGGTTTTGGTTTTGGGTTTGGTTTGTGTTTTCCGGTTCCGTTCTTCCTCCCTGAGACATCGCCTGAGGGCCGCCATGCGTCGTTTGGCGGCCGTTTTGGTGCTTCCGCAGAGCTTGCGATTGGCGTCTCCCGAGGGGAAGCCGATCAAAAAGGATGCGGAATCCTTTTGGTCCGGGTCCGCTTCCGCCTTGCTAGGGGACGGCGTTTGTTCCCAGTGTTCTTTCAGAACATCGTTGTGGTTGCATCCATTGCTGCCACCATTTCTGCCAAGGACTCCGCCGGCCTCGGCCCGCAGGATTCCGTGACCGACGAGGCGCACAAGGTCTTCGAAGGGGACCCTCCCCGAAAGTCCCGGGATCGTGGCCCTCAGGGCCTCCAGGGGTACCAGGGTCTGGCCCGTGGCGTGGGTCAGGAACCGCAGGACCGGATCGAGGAGGGAGAGGGACCTGACGACGCCCTCCGGATCAGGCCCGGTATCGGGAGAGGCATCGCTGGGCATTTTGCGGGGAGTGCTCTTGGGTTGCTGGCGGTGGTTAGTGGTGGCGTGGGTCCCCTCTTTTCCTCCCGCGCGTTTCTTTTTCTCTTCTTCCAGCTAGAACACGAGACGGCACTGCTTTGGCACCTCTGTCCGATCCCGTCCCTCCATGGGCCTCGAGCTGCGGTATTTGTCGACCGGCGGGTCTCTGGATGCCAGAAAACGAAGCGAAATCCCCTTCAGATGTTCTTTCTGTTGCCAAGGTCGATCGAGTGGGCTCGGATGATTCTCTCTTGCGTTCTCCGAGATCCACAATACGTTTGTTGCGTTTGTTGGGTTGTGACGGAATGAAATTTTAGCTTGAATGTGAAGCCGGAGTTGAGATGCTGGCCATCGCAGATTTTCCGCGAATGTATGTTTAGTACTGTATAGAAGGTATAATAGTATATAATAGTAATACAGTAGATCAGTAATTGTACCGGTACAATAATCAAGTGGAATGCGAGTTGCGCAGACCGCTAGTAAATATGTTCATACCTAGACAGGTATGTTCATACCCACATGAGTACGTTCATACCTATACAGGTATGTTCATACCCATATGTGTACGTTCATACCTAGACA